AGAGTAGGAGATGAAGAGAGCGTTCACATAATCTATGCCTTTCTCATTTCTTCTGTAAGTCTATAAAACAAACTCTAGTTTGTTACATTCATTGGGCTTCAACAAAACAAATTGCAAATATTAGTTAATGTGGGCTGGACTACAAGGCTCATCTAACCAACTACGTAGTCTGAGAAACGTTTGGACTGCTGTAATTTTTTTTAGAGTGAAGACACTTTTGGTTCATAACAAAAAAATATGATTTTTATTTTAATTATTTCCTTACAAAAAAAACTAATTATCTGTTTACTGTGAAATTCAAAGTGAATTTATTTTAATTTTTTTGAGGGACTAATGTGAGTCTTTTCTGAATCTGTGTACAACTATGATTTCAACTAAATGAGTTCATTTTGAATTTCTTAAGAATTTCGGGACTAATTTTTTATTATAAAAAACTAAAGTGGGAATTGTATTTTTTATTAGGGAGCAAAAGATGCTTTACTCTTCTTTTTATCTCTCAGCCCAACTGTAGCTGTTTGATTGCTGTTGCTTGGACTTGTATTATTAGCTGCCCTGTTACATTAACCTCTTCCTACATGTGATTTATGAACTTTAAATTGATCTTATTTAAGTCAACTATTATATTAATTGATTTTTGCATCGTTAACACGTCAATAAACTTACCACATGGCACAATTCTAACATTCAATTTATATATTATCTCCACTATTGATTAGACTTTTTTTTTTAATTAAAATCCTCAATTCATGTGCATTTAATCCTTATAAAGGAATAAATAAATAAAATTTGAAAATAATATAGATTATATTTAATATATAATAATTAAATTATCAAAATATTAAATTAATGTTTATTCAAATACTTTTCTTCTAATACGAATTCTACTAATTATTTTGATTTAGTTTCATTTACTCATTCATATTAATTAATATAAATAATTAATAAATATTTAATATAAAAATTAACTACACGTTTAAATTATTACTATTTGATTATTAGTATAAATCCTAAATCAAATAAATGACCAGATTTGATATGTGTTACAAATTATAAATATTAATATTTTCACTATTTTTAGTATTTATTAATATTAACTTAAATATTTAGATAAATTAAAAGTAAAATATTATAAATAATTATTAATTTAATATTTTGATTTTTTTGAAGTATTATTTTTTTGGGTTAGTGCATTACATTTTTATTTAAAATATTATATATTTTATTACTATTATTATATATTATGTATAATAAATTTAGAATTTTGTTATTTATTTTCTAAGGATTAAAATATATATAAAATAAGTATTTTAATGAGTAAGGGACCAGACCAGAACATGTTAAGATGACCATGCTCCTTAAACTCCTATTGCGCAGCAGAACTAGCAAATGGAGCGGCGGTGCAAACACTTGTCCAAGCTGTCTGAATCAAGAGGAGACAATTATTCATGTACTGCGTGACTGCAGACACGCGAGGAGAATATGGCAATGTTGGTTTAGAGGTAACATCCCCTCATCTTTTATATGTTTACATGTGCAGGAATGGTAGGCTCAAACGTGGATGGATTAATGTGGACTTCTCGTGAGTTGGAAGATTGGAGGGATGTTTTCTATCCAACATGCTGGTATTTGTGGTTGTGGAGAAATATGGAGATCCATAATGAGCAGTTCTGGCGCAAGGAGCAAACGAAGAACCAGATATGACTCTTTATTCAGCAGATAAAGTCATCTAGAGCTTATCATGGCCAAAGGAGTATCGTAAACAATTAATTCAAGCCAAAAACTTAAATTGTAGGATAAAAACCTTTTAAATAATTTATACTATTCTCTTTATATCAAAGTCTATTGAACTTGAAGGGTGAATAATGCAGAGGGTCTATCTAAAAATTTCACAAGAAATAATTAGTTATTCCGTGACACTGAGACTCTAATACTATATAAATAACCAATTCAACTCAAAAGTTTAAGCTGTTAATGTTAGAGATGAAATAAAAAATAGAACAAGTATAATAGAAGATGAATTTTTACTATAACAGAGTTTCACTCAAGAACAAAATATTACAATAATAATCTCTTTTTTGTACTTCTCACAAATCTCTCTTCCATTTTTCTCATATAAGTGTTTCAATACTTTATTTTCTCGCACTGTTTACACACTTTCAATCTTTCTATTCACTCATCTAATGCCTAACATATTACATATATATTGATATATATGGAAGAGTTTAACTTGAACTTTACAACCTGTTACAACCACTAGCCATCATCTTTGATCATTCTTGCAACTTTCTAGTCTTCAAATTGAATTTGACAACTTATAACAGCCACACACTAAATACAATTCATAGTGATAGGATAAGATTTCCAACTCATCATGGGTTGACAATGGATAGAATTCAAGAAAGATTTTGATTCTTCTAAAGTCTTCAAGTTTCTCCAAGTTTCCACGAATTTTCTAAGCATCCATAACTTTCTACAAGATTCTATAAGATTCTTGATAGGTGACAGAGAAATTCAATTTGAATTTGAATTCTTTGGTGGTGAGAAGGAGATAGAAGTAAAATTGAGTTTGAACTCTAACAGTTAAATGAGAGTCTTTTTAATAATTTATAATATTTTGAAACAAGTACCAATGAGAGAGAAAGTAAAGCCAGGAGTAACTAGACAACACGACAACATGGGTGGGCAAAGCTCAACTGCGATGGAGCATCATCTTATAGCACAAAGAGAGCTAGCTGTGGGGGGCTTCTAATAGACCACATTGGTTCCTTCTTATGTAAGAGGTTTTTACTGTGACTTGGGGTACTGCGACTCTCAAGATGTAGAGTTATGGGGCTTACTTAGATGACTGGAAATGGCATGGGGATAAAGAGCAAAAAATATATAGGTTGAGAGTGACTCGACCAATGCCATTCGAACTCTACAGGAGGCGCAAGATGATGACCCATGAGAGTCCCAGGTGGCTAGGCAATTGAGGCTTTGGCTGAAACAGACTAGACCATCCATGTAGCTCTCATGCCAAGAGACAACACAAAGTGTACACTAGCTACCGAGACATGGTGGAAACTTGCATTTTACGAGCTTCAAGGAACCTCCTTCTCAGTTGCTTGATCTGCTAGCAAATGACGCTAGAAAACTGTTTTGTAGTTTTTCCTTGCTTTTATGGAGTTAGTCTCCTCCTTATTTACAAAAAAAGAAAGAAAGATTGTGTCAATGGTAAGCATATCCACAACATTTCCATAATAAGTTTTTTTCAATTTTTGTTACTGATAACAGAAATTGATAGAAATTTGATAAAATTGTTTTTTTTTATGAGAATGAACCAGTTCAATTTCTTTAATGGGAATAAAAAAAGAATTAATTTTTTTCTTTTTTCTTTTTTATTCTCGAACACAAAATGAGAAACATTTCTCTCTCAATCACTATCTACCACTACCATAATCATCACCGCTACCATCATCCCAATACACGATCATCGCCACCATAGTCACCGCCACCACGATGTCATTGCCACCATCACTACCGCCACCACCACTACCATCACCATCATCACCACTATCGTCGTCATCACTACCACTACCACCATCTCCACCTCCATATCATTACCACTAGTGGCGGACCCAGAAAATTTTATTTATGACCGCACACTTAGTGGTGCCTCACAAAATTTTTTGTAAAAAAAGTTTTAAATACATTAAAAAATAAAAGAATATAAACGAGAAAAAAAAACTTCAACTTAACGTAAAAAAAATAGTAATCAAAAGTTATATGAGGTTGTAGGTTCAGACCTTAATGTCATCATCTATCAAAAAATAATAATACAAGTTATAAGAACTTAAGAAGTGAAAATATCATTTGTTTTATATAAGTTTCTTAATTTAACTATATATCTGTTTTTAAAGTGAAGAGATGGATTATATAACTTTTAAGGGTGCATTTGATTTGTTTTTATTGTCATTGTTAAATGATTGTTTTTATTAATAATATAAAAGTGTTACATTATTTTATTATGTTTCTTATATTTAAAAATTTGCAAAATAATAGTTAAGATAATATTTGTTTTCATTATTTCCTTTGTAAATTATTAAAACAAGAAACAAAAAAAAAACATAACATTTTTATAACTATTAATAAAAACATATCATTTTAACAATGACAATAAGAACAAATCAAATGAATTGCCCTAATCATTCACCTAAGGCTAGTTATCTATATATGACATGATAGGTTTAGAAACACTTGATGCTATTGATCATACATAATATATTCCAATCTATTCTCAAAATCCCCCTTATTGTCACCACGTAACCAATCATTGAAACTATTAAATTCCCCCACCCCTCAAAAAATAAAATAAAAATTAGCGTATGCACTTGAGGACACTTGCGTAAGTGCAGGTCTTCCAGTGACTGCCACCACCGCCACCACCACCTCATCATGTAAAAAAGAAAATGATGATCTGAAATTTTTTTATAATTGATAGAAATAATTGTTTATTCTATAATAAATTATATTACCAAATGCAATTCTCATTCTCGAAATAAAAATAGAACATGTTATCAAACAAATTTTTTTCTCAAAAACTATTCCAAAGCATAAAAATAGAATAAAATTGTTTTTTTTCAAAAAATAGCACCAGAGAAAAGAATGATCATCATGCACACCTTAATTGAGAGAAAATTAGAGGTTTTTAATTTAAATATTAATAAAAAATAATTTTAATTAAAATTATTATCTTTTAAAAGGATAATGTTTTCCTTAAACAATTATATATTAATTATTTGAAATAGACATAAAACCAACACAAGTCACACATGATCCAAGCATCCACTGTGTAATTTCCACCAAATTTAATAGGGTTGTTGAAAAATGATGGAACAGACCCAAAATTTAAGGGGAGCCCTATGTTAATATTAGGTCAAGGCCACAAAAATTGGGCTTTGATTAATGGGTCATAACACTGAACTCACCAGACCCAAAGCATGTATGTAGGGTTTTGATTGGTAAGAAAACAAAAAAGAAAAGAAAAAGTTAGGGTTTTTGTAGACTCTTACATATAAGTTTAGTCTTTATCTGCTTGTGTTGTTTCAGTTCTTCCACTTCGCAATCTGTTCCAAATCGAATAAACTCTAACAAAGGTAACCGTCTTTTCCACTTCATCAATTTTTCGTTTCCTCAATCGGCTTTCGGTTTTTCCATTTTGGTCTTCAATTTGTGCTGATTTTGGCCTCTTGTTATAGTTAAGGTGATTATTTGAGATTTCGATTCGTGGGGTTGATTTGATTTTGTCTTTTTATCTTTGGGATTTTGGAAATGATTTCATTTTTGTTCAGCGAGATCTATTATTATTATTATTTCATCAACTGGGTTCTTAGATTTAAGTTTTATAATATAATTTTTTATTACATAGTGAAATTAATCTGGGATAGAACTATGCTGATTTTTTTTTTTTTTAATGTATAAAGCTGAAATTGGGGATGTGATGAGTTTTAGAGTTTCTCACTCAATTGAAAATTGTTATGTGTGGCATTTAGAATTTTCATTTTAAGGATGTTTGCATTGCCTCCTAGGATAAAGTGAGTAAAAATGAGTTTCATTCTTCTAAGTTCTATGCGGATAGTGATTGGAGACATGAACTGAGGAGGCTGTATAGTATAGCCATTATATTTTATGTATGCATTGGGGAGCTCAAAGTGAGACTTTGTGTTTTTTGTTCGAAGGGAGTGCTGTAGCTCTTATTCTATAGTATTGTTTATCTGATGTATGATGTGCTTGAATTCAGCATGCTTAATCTTTTCTGGAATGGATTTTTATTGCTACATGTGTGGTGTAACATGCTAAAATGGGCTTTGTTTAACTTGGGTTTGGCTCAGTGATATGGTTTAGTTGAACTTAGTCCGAGTCCAAGCTTCAGAGTTATATTTTCATAAAATGCATGTATAGCTTTACCTAAACAGGCATACTCTTTTTTATTTGGCTCGTTGTTAAACAGGGTTGTCATCTAGTTGTATGGCTATAACTTATGTTATGGGAATGAGAATTTTAGAATTTTGATACCTGTGTTTTTAACTTATTTTTTGTTCTCCTGCTTCATTTCTGACTGTTTTAGCTTGGCATTTAATTATAGCTGATATTCTTGTAGTGGCATGTCTCTTAATAAGATATGACTTTATCTTCTTGTTTTTCATATAATACTATGAATTATTTGGTTTCATTTTATTTTTTGTGGCTTCTAGCCGTATTTTAATGAGTTGATGATTACTTGTATTGATTCCAATGACATCTATGTTTGAATTATATAACAGAACCTGTTTATCCTTTGTTTTTCTTGGTAAGTCCTTTTTGTTTCTGTAACTTGTAAGTTTAATTGTTGGTTGTTGGACCTTTGGTGTCTTAAACTTCCTCTTTAGTGTTGTCACCATTCATTTGTACACCTTTATCAAGATGTAGTTAATTAGTTTCTTGAGGTTATACTTATTTTTTCCCTTCTTCACTTTTACGCAGATGAATAGAGAAAAGTTGATGAAGATGGCCGGTTCTGTTCGAACTGGTGGAAAGGGTACTGTGAGAAGGTATATTTGTATATCAAAATCTGATTTTCTTCCATACCAAAGTTATATATTTTTAATATACGCGCTTATGTTTGTTCTTAAAATGATTTGATACTACTCTCAACTATCCATGGATGTATTAGTAACTGTGTATTGACATCAATTCTTTAGCTTTTCCTCTTCTGTTATATATTTCACTATTGAACCAGTATCAGAGGATGTGCAACTGGAAGATTGCCACTTTGGCTATTAATTTATTTTGCAAAATTATTACTTCAAGTTGTAATTTATCAACTGCTTTTGTGGTGTAATTGTTTTTCATTTGAGTGAGGTACCTGTTCTAATTTTTTGATTGATGTGTTGGTTGCATCTGTTTAGTTGACTTTTTTGTTGATGATTTGGTTTCTGTCTATTTTAGGAAGAAGAAGGCCGTCCACAAGACAACTACTACAGATGATAAAAGGCTTCAAAGCACCCTGAAGAGAATAGGGGTGAATGCTATCCCTGCAATTGAGGAAGTCAACATTTTTAAGGATGATGTAGTTATCCAGTTTTTAAACCCCAAAGGTGATATTAATCGATGATATTTGGAGTATATAGTTTATTTTAACATTTTAAGTTAACTTACTATTAAACATGGAATCTTTTGCAGTACAAGCATCTATTGCTGCCAATACTTGGGTTGTTAGTGGTTCCCCTCAAACAAAGAGTAAGCATATATATTTTTCTTCTTCTATGTATTCCATATTATCCAACTCGACTTGTGCTAACATACTTTGAGCCATTATATAAGAGTTTCCATTATCAATAACTCTGGCTACATCAATCTTCGGGCATTGTAGGCTTTAATTCCTCTAAGGGCATGAACATCTATGTTTACTATGTATTACATTGAAATAACCAGACTTTTGTTATTGTTTGGAGAATAACTTGGCATTGTTTTCCACCATTTCAAGCGTCAGACTTGAGCGTAATGTTCCATTTGAATTTTAACTGATTTCACACTAGATTAGCATTTTACTGAAGACAAAATTTTCCCTTTGCAGAGTTGCAGGATATTCTCCCTAACATCATCCACCAATTAGGTATGAGATTTGCCTCTTGTCAAGGCTTTAGCATTATTTCTTTGTGTTCCCAATTTGAGATTTTTGGTTATTCTATAAAAAATTCAGGGCCAGATAACTTGGAAAACCTGAAGAAGCTAGCTGAGCAATTTCAGAAGCAGGCTCCTGAAGCAGGAGCTGGTGCAACCACAGCACAAGAGGAAGATGATGATGATGATGCAGTCCCAGATCTTGTCCCAGGGGAGACTTTTGAGACAGCTGCTGAGGAGACCAAGACTTCTTAAGAGTTTTTTTATTGTGCCATCTATCTATATTTTTTATGTCTTCAAGTTTTTTTTTTCTTTTTACCAAAATTAAATGTTTTAGGTGTTGTTCGATTCTCATGTTATATATTAAATAGTTAAAATACTCTTAATTTTGCTCTCAATCATCTAACTTTGAAGTGTTACTACCTGACTGCACCTGAGTTTGTGTATTGTATGTGCATCATTATTGTAGGTAGAAATCAATTTTGCTCATTTATTCTTCCTATTTGGTTTCACTCTTCATTCAAGCAGTCAATTTTGAAATTTGTTAAACTAAATGCTTATGGGAATTATTAACAAAGCCCTTCATAAACATTGTTATGGATCATGTTGATTATCGATGGTTATGCAGGAAGGTTGATGCTTTTGCATTTGACACCTGAGTTAGTTCTGTATTCCTTTTTATGGAAAGATTGCTATCTATTTGCAGAAGATCTAATGGGGATATATTGGAGTTCTTGAGAGAAGCCATTGATGAGAGAGAGAGAGAGAGAGAGAGAGAGAGAGAGAGAGAGAGAGAGAATATTTGGATCTGAATCTTTATTATGAAGAACTTACTTTACACAATGCTACACTCTATCACTATATAGAGTGTGAGAATGCTGACTCAGCAAGTGAGTCAGTTCTAACAAACAAACTGTAAGCTAACTAATCTATAACAGAAAGGGAGAAGGATCTGATACATGCATGTGTACAATAGCAGAAAGTAAACCACTACTTATCTAATACACCCCCGCAAACTTAGGGATCTTGAGGCAGGGAATCAAGAACCCTGAGTTTGGTTCTTAACTCAGCAAAACGTCTAGGGGAAAGAGCCTTAGTCAGAGTATCTGCCAGTTGATCTGAAGCAGGAATGTGCGAGACAACAAGCTCATGAGCAAGCACACGTTCTCGAACAAAGAAGATATTCGATTCCATATGCTTAGTTCGAGCATGTAAAACAGGATTATGAGAGAGGGCAACAGTGCTCAAGTTATCACAGAAAATGCGTGGAGTAACATAGGGAACCTGTAACTCACGAAGGAGGGATTGAACCCATAAAATTTTAGCACAAGTAAGAGCTAAACTTCGATACTCAGCTTCAGTTGTTGAGCGTGCTACCAAGGTTTGTTTCTTGGACCACCAAGAGATGAGATTAGGACCCAAGAAGATAGCAGCACCAGATGTAGAACGCCTATCATCAGGATCACTAGCCCAGTCAGCATCACAGAATGCTGTAATAGAGAGGATGTTGAGGAACAACCCTTTGAAGCACAAGACCATATGTAACAGTCCCTTTTAAATATCTGAGAATTCTTTTAACTATTTTCCAATGATCTTCTAGTGGCTGCCCCATGAATTGGCAGACCTTATTGACTGCATAGCTGATTTCTGGACTGGTTATGGTGGCATATTGAAGTGCACCCACAACTGACCTGTAGAGATGAGGATCTGAGAAATAATTAGAGCCAAAACGTGAGAGCTTACAACTAGTGGGCATGGGAGAGGAGATGCCTTTTGCATCAAACATGGCAACTCGAGTAAGTAAATCCCGAATGTATTTTCCTTGTGACGGAATCAAACCACCAGAACCATGAGGCTTTACTTCAATTCCAAGAAAGAAATCCAAGGTGCCAAGGTCTTTGAGAGCAAATTGGGAATGAAGTTGAGTAATCAAAAATTGAATGTAGGCAGCATCAGTACCAGTGACTATTATGTCATCCACATACACAAGGATATAAGTGCAGCGAGAAGAAGTCTTTGAGATGAATAAGGAAGTGTCACAATAGCTGGACTTGAAGCCAAACAGCATCAAAGCACCTTTCAATTTATCAAACCATGCTTTAGGGGCCTGCTTAAGCCCATACAAAGCCTTGTTGAGCTTGCACACTAGGTTCTTATCTGAATTCTCAAAACCAGGGGGCTGACTCATGTACACATCCTCTAGCAAATCACCATTGAGGAAGGCATTGTTGATATCAAGTTGCCGAAGGGACCAAGAGTGAGTAAGTGCAAGAGTAAGCATGATCTGAATGGTAACATGTTTGACCACTGGTGAGAAGGTTTCATTGTAGTCAAAACCTTCTTGTTGATGAAACCCCTTTGCCACTAGCCTTGCCTTATACTTGTTCACTGTGCCATCAGGATTTTCTTTAACTTTAAAAACCCACTTGCAACCAATTGACTTCCTGTTAAGAGTCCATGTATTGTTAGTCATAAGTGCATTGTATTCAGCCTTCATGCCATTAACCCCATGTGGACTGGCTAAGGCTTGCTTCACAGTAGAAGGTTCTGTATAAGCAAGAAGGGCAGTGGATGTGGCCAGAGATTTGGATCTGGTCATAATAGAATGAGGAGGGGAGGATTCCCTTAGGGAAGAAGGGGGAAAATACTCAAAACCTGAGGAGGGAGAAGAAGCAGAAGAAGACTCAGAAGCAGGGGATAAGGACAGTGGGTTAGATGTTGTAGAAGAGGAATTAGAGGACTGCATTGGAGTTGCAGGAACACTACTATGTGACGCAGGAACAGAGGACGGCAATGATGATGCAGAAGCTGTATAAGGAGAGGAAGAAATGGGTGAACTGGACTTAGAAGACGACTGGGGAGATTGCTGGAAAGAAGAAACTGGTGAAGAAAAAGACTCAGACATCAATGGAGACACCAAAGGTATCTGGGCAGAAACTGGAATGGTAGGGGAAGGATCAGCTGTAGTGTTAGTCCAAAGAGCATAAGGAAACCTATATTCATTGAAAAGAACATCCTTTGAGATATAGGTTCTGCCATCTGTATTTAAACAAACATATCCTTTATGACTTGTGGAATAACCCAGGAATACACACTCTTGTGAACGAAACTCAAGTTTATGACGATTATAAGGTCTAAGAAATGGAAAACAAGCACATCCAAACACTTTAAGAAACTGATAATCTGGACTATGATGATACAGCTTGGTATAAGGAACAACAAAATTTAATGATGCTGTTGGAAGCCTATTGATAACAAACACAGCTGAAAGAAAGGCATAAATCCAAAAGGATAATGGTAGGGAGGCATGAGACAACAAGGTTAAACCTAGCTCAACAATATGACGATGTTTGCGCTCTACAACACCATTTTGATGATGGGTGTGTGGGCAAGCAAGTCTGTGAATGATGCCATGGTGTTTGGATAATCAGTGAATGGTCTAAATTTCCCACCCCAATCAGTTTGTAAGGCTTTAATGGGAAGTTGAAATTGAGTTGTTATCAAGGAGTGAAACTGTTTGAAAGTGGAAAGAGCATCAAATTTTTGTTTTAACAGATAAATCCAAGTGTATCTGGTGTGAGCATCTACAAAAGAAATATAGTAAGTGTATCCCAAGGTAGATTTAAAAGGAGCTGGTCCCCATAAGTCACTATAGACGAGAGCAAAAGGTGTGTCATACACAGTTTGTGATGAGGAGGAAGAAAGCCTGTGTGCTTTTCCAATACAGCATGAAGAGCAAAAATCACTAACATTTTTATTAGAAACTGAAATATTACAAGAGTTAAGCACTTTTGTCAAGGTTACATGATTGGGGTGCCCCAAACGACAGTGCCATAGAGAGTATGTAGAATTTGAAGGTACACAAGTTTGACTAACAGTACAAGGCTGATCAACAGCTCTATTTTCACTCTCAACAAAATTACAGTGAGGAAAACTATCTGCATGAACAATTGAAGGACTTGTTTGACTAACACTACAAGGCTGATCAACAGCTTTATTATCACTTTCAACAAGAGTACAGTTGTGAAAGCTATCAGTTGAAGGACTGGAACAGATAGAAGACTTGAGAGAATGAGCTTGACTCAAAGCAAGGGAAATGTCTGAAAAACGATAAAGACCATCATTGCCAAGTACCCCACGAAGAAGAATGTCATGAGTGTCCTGCGATTTTGCAAAGCAAACACTTGGATGAAACTCAAAATAGACAGAGTTATCTTTAGCAAATTGACTAACACTCATAAGATTTTTCATGATAGAGGGAACAAGTAATATATTTTTGAGATGTAAGCATCTGTGAGAATCATAAGGTGAAATAAATTTTGTGGAACCAACAGCTTGAATAGCCAAACCTTGCCCATTACCAATGATGACCTGATCTGAACCACTCAATTGTTGGCTCTGTAGTAAGTTCAGAGGACTTGAAGTCACATGATGAGAGGCACCTGAATCTGGGAACCACTCAAGAGCTGGAGCAGAAGACGAAGTTGGAAGCAAACCAGGTTGTGCAGCAATCATAACCTGAGGAGATGTATGAACAGGCCTAACATACTGATACGACCTTTGTTGAGTCTGTAGAGGCTGTCTCTGAGCAAAGTATGATCCATTTGATTGAGTTTCTGGAGAAGGAAGAGTGGGGACAAAGTCTTCATCAAAACGATGCCAATAACTCTTCACGTTGTGGCCATACTTGTGACACAACTGACAATATATGTTTTGTCTGCTTCCACGCCTTCTACCTCTGCTAGCTCTGCTATTATAGTGTCCTCGTCCTCTATATGAAACATTAGAACGAAAAGAATCATCACCTCCTCTCTGTACTGAGGTCTGACCAGTGCTATGTTCCTGAGTTGCAAAAACAGGGGCAAGCAAAGGAGTAGAACCAGACGTGTTACTCTGTTTTTGAGCAACATTCATAGTGGCTGAATCAAGAAGAGACTCATTCTGCTTTAACAACATCTGTTCATGCGTCATTAACTCAATGGCTAGATCTTCAATCGAGTAGGGATTTTCTCTTCCATGAACAGTAGTCACAAACGTGTTGTATTCAACTGGAAGTCCTTCCTGTATGTAATCAGTTCTATCTTCGTTCGTAACTGAATTTCCTATGGCTTTGAGAGAATCACAGAGGCTTTTGATGCGAGACAAGTAATCTTGAACGTTGCAGTTCTAGTTCCTTTCATTTATAGTATCTCGTTCAAAACAGATTCAGAGATAGTGGACAAGAGCCAAGATAAAAGTCACTGTAACTTGATGATTGAAGAGAAGAGGAGCACGATTTTCCATTGACGTTGCTTCTCTGTTCGACTTCAAGGATGCTGGAGCACTGTTACCAGCTGTAGCATTATCTTCAGAGTTGGAGGCGGAAGACATAGTGAAGAACGATGATGGATCGGGCCCTCGAAATGAAGGCTCTGATACCATATTGGAGTTCT